TTTCAAATAGAATGATATACGTTATTCTTTGATACAATTGTATTACTTAACACAGTAGAAATATTTTACAGTTTACGAATAGAATAATAGTCATACCCTGAATTTCATTTAGGCCGATCATACCTGGACCCGTTCACTGCAAGCAATGTCATACACACAGTGTAAATACCGATAGTTGCTGACTCGTACGGGAAGCCCAGAGTGATATTTTGGTGGAAAAGATACTCCGATTCCGGAAATCTTTTTGAGATGATAATGCTTGGTAGAGAGATTAAACTTCTTTAGAAGTCTTCTCAGTGAGTCAGGGTTTTGAACTGCAGCATGACCTGCTTAACGTGTACTATGTAATGTTCTTTCCCTCTTTTAAATCATTAAACTTGTTTTCATCGTTGTCGCTATTTTTGTCTTATAAAGATTTGTCAAACTAGTTCATGGTTTATGTTTAATGAAGTAGCTCGGATCTTAGAGGTTGTATGTATGGCTCAAAAATTACTCCAGTTTCAGTAAAATTAATCCTATTTTGTAGCTCAGTATGTAGGTAGCTTATTGAGACATCGATATAAATTGAACAAGACATTTCTTGGAGTAAAAATAAGAACCTAAAAAGTAGGCCTGTAGTCCCCCCCCCCCCCGCCCCCCCCCCCCCCCCCCCCCCCCCGCTACGATATTATTAGCTGGCAGACGGTCTACTTCGTCAATAACATAGAATGATAGTCCTGGCATAAAGCTAATCCATGAGGTATAGCGACCTGAAGTTTAATTTTCTTGTTGTAGAATAGCTACGAGTACAGACATACTAATACTAAAGCTTTTCGTCTTGCACTCATCCAAGTAAATTGCCAGACTGAACAACGACAAAATCTTGATTTCTGTCTTTATGTTCCATGTTAACAGATTTTTAACGTGTATATTAAAGCCCCACTGTCCTACTTGCAGCTACTTGCTCCCTCTATATAGAAAACTTCCCCAATCGGTGCCTGGTGGTCCCCCATGATCCTCTTTTTCTTATGATAGTTGAGAGCTGAGTTAATGAGATAGCCACCTGTCAGTGACCTCGCTGTGTGGTCTAATCCCCTCTGGCCCAGTAGTATTGACGTCTTTAAAGGAAACTTCTTTTGTCCCCATTTTCTAGATTATTATTACTTTTACCTTTACTATTCATTTATGATTGGCAGGGTACCAGTAGTATATCCAGGCACTGCAGGTGCGCTCCAACATAATTTACTGCCAGTAGTATGCCCATATTTATTTATATTAAACAAAATAAATCTAGAAATATGATTATGGAAAGAGGATTTCTTGTCCCTGCTTCAAATAATAAAGATGTGGATCTCAAATTCGTTTCACGAATGAAAGAAAAAGTAAATCAAGGTGATTACAAAATCAACAGGGAAAGAAAACGTGAGACAGAACATTGGAGAAAGGAATGGAAAGCGATGAAGCGTTTGAAGCACGGTCATTGGATATTTATTTCAAACAATTTCCTTTAGGGTTTAATGACCTTTTTCTCTTAATATAAAGTCCATGAGAGAAGTCAGAATAAGAATAAATCCCTGAAAATGCAAGGAAATATCCGGAAGGCAAGCCGTAACCTTCTGTAAAAGATAGTTTATAGACTTGCTGACTCGAAGCTTTCCTTCTGTCATGCACAGATATGGAAAGAATAATGTGAAAGTTCCGAAGAAGAAAAAAAGAGAAGAAGAAAAACAAATTCCCAAAGGAGACAAAATAAAAACACTACCATTCTTGCGTATTTCTACAATTCAGTTGAGTATAACTTACAGCACTTTGATCTCCTTTCATATCTTTTTTTTTTACTCATTTCTTTAAGTGGAGAAAAGCTTATTTTCAGACTCAAACTATTTTCTCGGGCCTGAAGTGGTGGAGGCGATGTGGAGTTTGTGGACAGCTAATTGCCATCTATTAATGTGTTTTAAAGCATTTATTTGCATCCATACAGTAACTACTCAAATTTGACATATCCCTTCCTGTTTATTCAGATTTTCGTTCTTTTTAAAATGTTATTTCTTCCCTGGAGGCATAGGCGATAATTGGCCACTTGTGCATGAGCGATTATACTTCTCTTGCTCTTCAGCTGTCGTCCAAACTGCGTTCATAACTTGAAAGTTAGTCGTGATGTTAACACCTTTTATAATGTCCACCTTGTTCCTTAGGTGTGCAGTCCGCGTTTTTCGGCCTGTGAAGACCTGTGATAAGTTTTAAATTTGCACCCAAGACTATGCAATAGGAACACACCGAGGTGCAAACGAATCACAGCAATATCCCATCGTGTGAACACGACAACGTCTTTTGAAGGGAAGGTGCCCCTTTATCATTTTTTGTTTGGGGGGAGTCTCATTAAAACATAACTAAACATAATCCTCTCATTCTGTCAGATGCTCCTCTCGTAGCCTTCGATGCATCTTGATAAATGAAAAGGACTCGCAGTGAAGGCACTTTTTTGGCCGTCGTAAAACGCAACCCCAATACAATTATAATGATTTAAGTGTGAGTCGACAAGGATTTTCATCCCAGTCAGACTATTGTCAGAGATGATTCACCTCTACGCCAGTGCAACCTCACAAAATGTGAACTTTCCTTTTGAATTATAAGGACCTTAATCTATTCGTCCTCGTATTCAAAAGGCTAAATCGCGCTTCATTATTGTATTTGACTCAAACAAAATGCACGTAGCTTGATAATGCCCATTTTAGCCCACCCATATCACCCTTTGATAATGTTTTAAAGAAATATCCCTTCATTTTTGTATTTATTCATGTATTACTTTATTTCTTTATCTATTCCGAAAAAAAATATTTCATTTATCTTTCATCCATTAATTCATCTATAATTTATTTTTTGTATTCGTTATTCATCATTTATGAGTTTATAATTTATTCATCTTCTCATTCATTCATTTATTAATGTTCTCTCTTTCTTTATTTTTATAGCATGTCGTGGGGTTATGGGTGAGCCCCCCCCCCCCCCGTTTTCAAAAGAATGTTCATAACTTTGAAATAGATGTTTTTTTTTTTTATAAATGAAACCTTCAATTTAAATTGATAGCTCACAATTCATGTCTTCTTCTTTTTTCCAAAACAGTTTAGAACTTTACGGCTCATGTTAATTTCTTTGTCACTGAACTATGACTTGTATAATAAGGCATTCTTTCTCCTAACAAACAGACCACCCGACTAGAGATCATTTGCTAAAAAGCACTTTACAAGTTGAGGCCAGTGAGAAAGGAAGAGAGAGACGGGGATGAGGGGCAGAGGTACACAGATGCACATAAAACAGACAGGTAGACATAGATATACAGACAGAGACAGACAGACAGACAGACGTCAATACATAAATTTAAAAAAAAGCTATATACAGAGGTAGAGATTTAGAGGAATTACGGTGTTTAAATCACATATAATTACCATATTTGAAAGAGAACATTAAAATTTGGTTTTCAGAGAGGTTTTTATACCGAATTGTGTGTCTCGTAGATCTACCGATGTCATTGTTAGCCCGGTTTTATATCATTCACGAATTTGCCGGGAGCTATGCTTTGCCACATTTTATTGTATTCTTTGTCAATAAGGGTATTTTGACGACTATTATCTCTTCCCGAATGATGTCATACTGTACATGAAACTGTTTTGTCCATAGACGCAACATTAGAAGAAAGACCTTGCTTTCACACTCATTTCTATGCATGCCCAATGACTCGTGAAATGTTTGGTGACAAGGGGAAATTTTTGACATGGACGTGACATTATTTTGATAGTTTCCCGCCATTAGCATTAGACGCAGCGAAATCCTGAGCGCAGTACAGGAGAGTGTGTCCATGCGAAATTGAAATGTCCGTATACTTCGTTAAATTGTCCTTAAACTGGCGTCGGGTATATTTATTTCTTTAATCATCACTACAAAAAGAAATTCTTTGGGCTTGTAATGTCTCGACCAAAATAGTTTATACGGCTTTAAAAAAAAAAGATTTATAGTAGCCTACCCAAAAATGTCAAGATTGTTAGTCTGTAGCGCAAACACGTAACATGCATTTTAATCGTGTTTAGCCTATGTAATAAAGGCTAAAGTTATGTTCTGCAAGATTCCTTATTCAATCAGGTTTGGAAACCTGTCTTGTCCATACGGACCTTATTCCTGGTTCATTTAGGTTCTAAAACGCGTATGGATGCACTCTATACAGACAGTTCTCTCTGAGTCTGATCATAGCCATTCAATTAACTTGTTGTTGTGTCTGTATCTGTCATTATTGAATGCCTGATCCCCGTATACACGTCTTTCCAATCAGTCGTATCATGGACTGTCCATGAATTGTACAGCTAATCAAAGTGATTAGTTTGAAGCTCCCCATAAACGTACCCACAACAAACAGTGTAGATTTAAAGGCCTGCTCCGTCGATGATAAAATTAATTATATATTTCATAAATGACGTAAGTGTGATAGTGCATGCCGTCGGTATAGAACGTTGGCTTATCATCATATATTCCCTCGGAAAGGACGTAGGTATATGAAGTAGGCCCTAAATCTGTTAAAATTTCACTGGGAGAGGCACTACTCATGCAAATGAATGAACAACAATGGCATGCGTGGACCCTTGTGGCAAATTAGCCTTGTGCTAGACAAGTTATCCAATTAGCTACATGAATGTCGACAAAAAGCCCAACAAAACAAAGATACAAACAAACAAGGGAATGGGCTGTATGTGTGCTAGTGCCATCCACCCCCCCCCCCCCCCATCCCTCCGGCAGCCCTAGCATGGTTTCAGGTCTACGTTTTGCTTGTCTAGAAAACAAACAATTGCTTTCATATATTATATAGCACTCAATTGTAAAGTATTCATTCTATCAAAATATCATCCAATAGTTGCAGTTAAACAGTGGTGATGCTCAAACGTACAGAAGAGGTGCGCACGATCGAACGCACTCACGAGACGACACAAGAAGCCTGTTCGCAGAGGTCGTGCATCTCGAAGCAATCACGAAATAGTGCACGGTTTGGCTTCCCCAGAACCGGTCAACTCAGTTCGACGCTAGCTGGCAGAGGCACCGGCTAAATTATCAACCAAGTTTGGTTTTTCCCTATGTCATTCTGGTCGGGTCTTTGCCAGGCCATGCTGCACCTCCATCAAGCCATTTTGATGCATTGATGCAACGAAACTCTGTCTTGAAATAACTTTTCTGGATGTGAATTGCAATATCTCGTTAGCGGATTATGGCTATATTTCGGAGCTTTTCTTGTACTTGGATTGCAATAGGAATGTGCTGTTACTATTTTACTGTGTGATTAGTCAGTCGAATTGGAGTGTTACCATTTGATTTTTCTCCTGTTCAGCTGATCCACTCACTTACTTCATTTTCAAATTTGGATTTTATTCATTTTGTGTCATTCACACCTTTGGAGTAATATTCTTTGTTTAAAAGGTAAGTTAATTAATCTAGTTGTTAGAAGAAAAAAAGTTCTTTATTATAAATATATCGTATTCAAGTATAATATTCTTTTTCTAGAGTTAGATCTTTTTAGAATTTTTTAAATTTTAACTCTCATCATATTTCTGGTCGTCCGGTCGACGAATGCAAACGACCTAACATTGATCTAATGTTTGTTTGTTTGTTTGTTTGAATTACACGAATGCGTAGTTGTACAAAGTTCTGCTACTTCAACAATTGTACCCAACAATTAGTTTTGAGTGAAGTATCCGCGATACCGGAGATACTGAACTGTGTTTGTAGGGTTACACCAAATAAACCTTTCAAAAGAAATAAGAGTCCTTCTTTAATAGTTAAAAGAGCCGATATTATAAGCTCTTTTCTTTGCAAAACTTTGTCTACAAATCAACTATCCAGGCTATCAGTTCGTTCTGAATAAGGTTTTACCGTATTTTAACAAAATATGTAAATTCTCGCTTTTCAAACGAACAAGAAAACGTCTAGACCAACTATTTTCACAAAAGTTCTCATAAAGTTTTCGACTGACATGACAGCACTCTATACGCTCTCGTGTACCTTTTTTTGTTCATTGACGGAAGGATGGTGTTATCTATTTATGATACATGATTATCGTTTGCTGGGATGCAACGGGGTCACTGTGTGCAGTCAGTCCTTATAGTTTTAGGTCTTCGTGTTTCTCTGGTATAATAAGAAGATAATTTATGCACTTGCAGTTGAAATAAAGTCTTGACCCGCAGTAATAAATCAAAAAGGGCCTCGTTTTTTTGTTTATGGATGGATCTTCATAAAAACCCAAGGACGTTTTAACGGTGTTCATGATTTCGAATAAAAAGGACATAAACTCGGTTGCAATATTCGTCACCTCGTCTGACAGCCAGTACCATAAATAAACCGTAGAGGTGTACAGGCTTTTGTGTATTATGGCAACCCGAGCACGGTCTGGTCTTTTATGAACTATTCTCTGTTAATACCTGTTCAATTTCAAGGGTGAGGCCCTTAAAACGAAGGCCCTTTTAAGAACGAAGGCTCTTTTGGTGTTTCTTGTCACCTTGATATTGTTATTTTCTTTTGATGAAATCGGGGAAAAGCCTACTTAGCATGATTGATTGCGTTGAATGCAATATTGCCCCATAATGTCTCATAAAAAAATATTCCCAGGTTTGTAGAACCAGTGTTTATCATTAAAGGCATTCCGGATTTTAGCTGAGCTAGCTTAGGTGCCTGTATATATTAAAGAGTCTTGAGCTACATAATTTGAAATTCGGCGCATTAATGGGGGCACCCCCACCCAACAAACACGCTCCCTTTATCATATCAGCCTAATATTTTTGTGTGCCCTCCCTCCTTTTCTTTATTCCATTTTTACAAAATCCGTAGTCCGGCTGCATATTATTTACAATTGGGTTAAATTACAAAATTATCGCGAATGATTTTTATATTCATATATATATATATATTTGTATGTATTATTATTTTTTTTGTATTGATTATGATTATTTTTGTGGAGGCGGGTCTGCGGTGTGAGTGGGGGCGTTAGCCCTCCCCTCCCCCATACACACACAGACGTATAGACTTGATGATTTAAAAAAAAAACTAAAGTCGGGTCCCCAGGAATTCAGGTATAGGCTCGATGTATCTGATGGAGGCCACATGATACGTCATGCGGAGTGCATTATAAGAGTCACAAGGCTGTATACCTTTCCGTTTACGTTCCATTGGGTTAGCCGCCAGGTGTATGTGTATGGGAATAATCATGATTTCATTAGGAAATACAATCTTGATATCGGGAAATCAAATCCCTAGGAATCATATTATTCATAGGCCTAAATGGATCATATATATATAATGGAGGCAAGTGCTTATAAGATCTGTCTGCATAGCCTTCTGTTGTGGATCGATTGGTTTATAACCAGCCAGTGTATATTTGAGAACAGTACTGATTAATTATCATTAGGGAACGTTGTGGTACACAAGAAGTTGGAGCTACTTATATACAGTGCGTCTTAGAAAAACGAAACCGAGAATTATCGATGTCTTATCTTAACTTAAACACTTATAATTAATAAATGACACATATTTGTAAAGCCTCTTTCACGCGTGAGTGATTAAAATTAATTTGAAGAAAGGATACCAAAAAGTCATTTGGCGGACGGTATCTGAATTTCATAGAGGAAATCACATTTCCAGAAAGTTCATTTTCTGCCCTTTCATATTACACCTCATTCAGGAAAAAATGAGCTGGGAACAAAAAAAGCTCTGTTTGTTTAAAGTAATGCTTGCATTTCCAAAACTGTATTAAACGAATTCGTTTTCACTGGCTGCCTGTCGTAGCAAAAACGGAATCGACAAAAGACTTAACTCCGTTTCGTTGACGATCAGCCATAGACGAAATACTCAACATACATGCATGACATACTACCCGATCGAACTACTATCATTTGTTGTGACAACGTTCTGTTTTGCAACATTTATTTCTAAAAGCTTTTTTCTCAATCCTGAATTTCCTAGCCTTGAAGGTCGACCCTTGTCCTCCCGGAAAAGTACAAAACATAAACAGAACGTTTTCATGTCCTTTAATTTTCATAGGAGTTGAATTTAGCGAATTATTTAATCATGCAAGCAGAGAGTTGGTGTGTTGACGGACAGGAAGTAAATTCTTTAACTGATACCAACCGGGGAGCTTTGGCATGCGTGTGCTTTCAATTTTAATATTTGATCATATTAATATATTTGTAATGTACTTCAAAACGGATTAGCACTTAGCATTTGCAATGAAGGCGTTCCTTTGACAAGCATAACAGGGAGACTGTTTGTTGTAGCGCCGTGGTGAACCGCAAAAGAAGTACAGCGCCGCAGTAGGCGAAACCTCCGACTGATCTTTGACCATTTTTGTGGTTTTTAACTATTTTTTGACATTTTTCATGTCATTGTGACCAGGCCGTGTGAGGAGTTTAGCTGCCACACGGTGTGTATGGTAGGCAGACTAGGTGTGGACTTGAATGAGAGGGGTTGGGATGAAGGCAAATATCGTTGTCATGTCAATCATTGTGAAAAGTCTCAGGCTGTAAACAAATACTGCAATTCACAATGATACAAATCAGGGCCATCGTGGGTGAACTGGCATCCGGGAGGGGGCGGCACGAGTAATATTAGGTCGATAAAACACAAAGGATGCTTGAACGCTCTAGAATCATTGAAGATTATTGACGGGGGCTCTATCATCTACCGTTCATCTTGTCTTTCTCCTTCCCTTCTTTTCTCTCCCTTTCTCTCTCTTTCTCTCTCTCTTTTTTTTTTTTTTTTGGGGGGGGGGGGGGGGGTTGAAGGGAATGCGGCCCCTTGTACCACGTAACTCCGCCACTGTTGAACAAATCTTGTATCTTAACAACGAAATGATAGTAAATGACCCGTTGTAAGGTAATTAAACCTGTTACCCATTACACATTATTACGTTTTTGTTGTTGTTGTATTCGAGCTGGGTTCATTTAGATGTCATTATACTGATTTGGAATAGACCGGCTATTTTAAGGAATCTGTCGTAATTTTGATGAGAAAATGCAGAAGCAATTTTAAGTCACGTTGACACCTTATAGATATAAGCTATATGAACGAGGTTTGTCGCACGTGTTCTGAGAAGTGTAGACCATAATACTATTAGGAACATATTTGGCAATGTTGGGAAAACGGCAAAAAACAAAATCCCACAAATCTATCTAAAAGACAAACAATTTCTGTAAATTAGAAGATGCATATTTCTCTGCTAAGTGGTTATTGAGAAGCACTAATTTTCTATAGCAGCAACCGAAATATGCAAAGCAGAAACAGTCATAATGAGGCTCAGCCAGTAATATCATGAAGTTGAAAATAAATAGATGCAACAAAGGAGCACATGTGTTTGTATGTCTTCTTCCAGAATTGTGGAAAACTAATTTACCAATCTCAATGAATATCACTAGCAAATATTATATTGATAAGATAAATTATTGTTTGTACACTGGTTAAAGAACTCGATTAACTCCTTGGCTCACTTTCCAAATTTTGGACTATTTTAATCATCTTTAATATAGAAGAAGAAAAAATCAGGAAAACAACACGTGCAGATCAATACTGTATGATATGAGAGAAGTTATGAGCTATGACTGGTATAGATAGAAAAGGAATTGATTAATGTACGTGACTTGCGACTTTGACTGAAATTATTGATACCTTGCCTGTGCTTTATCTTTTAAGACGTTTGCGTGCATAGAGAATGAGCAGGTGCGAAGGAAGTATGCTGTTCCACTGGAACTCAAAACCCATCCGCCCTCTCTCTCTCTCTCTCTCTCTCTCTCTCTCTCTCAATTTCACTTTATCTGCATAACGCTCGAACACGCACATTCTACTCCCCCCCCCCCCCCCACATCCTCTCTCTCTCTCTCTCTCTTTCTCACTCTCCTTCTTCATCTTCACCCTTTTTGCTTCACCCTCTTTGCCACACGCATTCCTTTTAAATCCTTTTAAATTCTGTCTCTCCAGTGTTTCTCTGTCTTTCTCTCTCTCTCTCTCTCTCTCTCTCTCTCTCTCTCTCTCTATCTATCTCTCTCCCCCTCTCTCTATCTCTCTCTCTCTCTCCCTCTCTCTGCCTTGATGAGGGTAACGCACTATGATGCTTCTCCATCTCGTTAGGATGTTCACCTTAATTTCGATTCACATACCGCGCCAAATAGCTTCCACGTCGATTGAGATATCAAATTATTTTACCAACATCTCTTTTCCTCCATTTGAATCAACTGCTTTCGTCAAGAGGATATCAAACCGTTTCCTAGCAATACAGGGTCAATCAATATTGTATCTAGATGTATATACCTTGATTGTATGAGCTGGCTAAACCACAATAGTTTCCCTGATAAATTCGATTCGACGTAGATGTTTCGAGTGTAAATTTGTTAGATATTACAAGTCGAAAAAGTAATTCCATCAAACGATAAATGGCC